ATCCATGTGAATGTAAGCTAAATCCTGGATTATTTCTTTTTTAAGCAATATCAAGGAATATAAGTGAAGAAAATACAGCTGACACTTTTCAAAAGTTTGTTTTGTTTTTTTTTTTTAATGAGATATTCCTGGAAGATACATCATGTGTAGTACAAAATTTACTAAACTGAATAAAATATCTTCAAAACAGTAGTGTATCCAATTTATGAGCACATGCATAGAATATGGGATTCAATTATTTGGAATGTTAACTAATGTTTTCACAGTGTCCACATTCTTATTGGACTAGAGTTCTTGATAACATGTTCAGGTATAAATTCTTTTCATGGGAAGGTAAGGAACCAGAGTGTCCAAGGATGCTAATATAATAAATATAAATGGTAAACGTTACCTAGCTGAATTTTAAATCTGTAGTCACTTAATTGGTTAGCACTTGAACTCAGCTATACTTATATGCAGATCTATTATTCTCCTTGGCTCTTTGTTCGTATCTAAGCCACCCAAAGTAATCACAGAATCACAGCATTGCAGGGATTGAAAGGTTCCAACCTCTGTGCTAAAGTAGGTACTCTACAGTAAGGTCACACAGGTTGGCATCCAGATGGGTCTTGAATATCTCCATGGAAGGAGACTCCACAGCTTCTCTGTGCAACTGCTTGCCACTACACACTACCAAGAAGATCCTAGCCTCATCCATTTGTCTCCCACTTCCCTTTAGATATTTATGTATATTAATCAGATGCCCCCTGAGTCTTCTTTTCCCTTGGCCTAAGAGACCCAGGTTACTCAGCCTTTCCTCGTACAGGAGTTGCTTGGATCCCCTTACTCCAAAAATATCAACAATCCATGTTACTGGAGCACTGACTCTTTAACTCCCAGTGCACTACATAATGTTACAGTGTGGAATACTAATAACAAAAAGTCATAATACCATGACACCAGTATTATAAGCAGCCTTATTTTTCTAAACATTAAGAGTACATGATCCACATTTTACATAAAAGCCAAAATAGTATAGCCCCAGAATATTCAAATTATATTTAAAAAATAAATTCTTTTTCCGCTCACGCTCATTGCATTATTGTTTGCCTTCTAGACTAATAAATAATGCAGCATTCTACTACTTTCTGCAGTCCCCAAAACTTACAGCTACGTATTTTTTTCTTTGGTATCCCCCATGCTATCCTTAATGAAACAATGCTGACCTGTACACAGGATGTGATTTTGGAGCTCTCGATTTTTGGAGGAACTGTATTCATTTTTTTGATAACAGGCAGTTGATTTCATTGCATTTTACTTGTGTTAATAATACATTCAGGCATGTATATGGGTTGTTGGAAGTACCCAAGTCTTTCTACAATCTGCTCTACATTTTTCTCTTGTATTCTTGGGTGATGTTGTCTGTCTTATTCGTATTATCAATTTGTATTATAGCAGAAATATTCTCAAAATATAAGAGAGAGAAACACCAAGCAGCATTTTTTTCATTTTTCTCTTATGTTTCTAGAACAAATGAAGCCTATAGAAATGCAATGCAGCAAATTAGTATTACCAAATCTTAATTCTAGACTGTGTTCAACAAGAGTGAGCTCTTAGCTACTTGCAAACCCCATGTGGTGAAGAGTGTTTTTTAGTACTACTTTTACTAAGCAATGACATAAAAAATTTGGGAACTGCTAGTGCTTCTCTTTTACTATATGCTTTTGGAGAGCATCTGTGTACACATTAATGTGTCTGTATATAAAATTGCAGGGAAGAACCTATGTATAGACTGTCCTTCTTGAGATGCTTGAGTGGCAGATGAAGTCTCCTTTTTGGAGGCCATGATTCTACAGTTAAGATATTTGTGGTTTGGAAACTGAGCACATAGCACGGTTAAGTGGCGTTTTCTAGATCAATGAATGTCTTCCCTTCAGTTTTCAAGAAACCATGTATATTAGTTTCCCTAACTGCACTTTATATAGGGATCACTAGCCAGACATGTCATGCCATATAATTTCTTACCATTCAGCCTGTTCCATATTGATAGATAAAATTGAGACAGCTCCTTTGTTACCATTTCTGCATTGGTTGTATGTTCTTGGCTATCTAATACACTTAAACTCAGGTGTATTTAGAAGGGTTATGACTGAGCACAGTTTCTCAGAAATAGTTCATTTTCATGCTGCCATACTGCCAACAGCTGTTCTCTATAATCCGCATGATGTCAGGACTAATAATATCCACACAACCATGTAAAGTGCTTTAATATTCACAAGAGGCAGAATTTGTATTGGACAGTGAAGCAGCAGCAGGCACTGAAGGTGTTGAAACATACGCTACAGCCATGTAGTTGTTTTGAGGTCAATGGTTTGGAGAAGAACCTGTGAATGAATTCATAATTAAACAAACAACAGTGAATTTAATATATATATATATATATATTGTTTAAAATCTTCACTTCTAGTTGATAATCATTTCTGGGAGGGAAAACTAGGAGATGGGATCTGTCACAGGTCTGAGGGAACTGAATAAAAAGCCTCCTGACACTGTTCTTGACGCTGCAGTCTGTTAACTGTACCTAGAAACAAGATTTAGGTTGTCAGTAGTTTTCAAATAGACACACAATTGCAGGGATTGGAAGTGACCTCCAGAGATCATCAAGTCCTGATGCCCTGCTAAACCAGGTTCCCTAGAATAGGTCACACAGGAAGGCATCTAGGTTGGTCTTCAATATCTCCATAGAAGGAGACCCCACAACCCCTCTGGGCAACCCGTTCCAGTGATCTGTCACCATTACCATAATTAAGTTCTTCCTTATGTTTGTATGGAACTTCCTATATCTTCATCACATAGTAATCCTCATAGAAGGGTCACTCCCTTGTGTGGACGAGAAAGATCCAACTGGGTGTTTGACTGCATTTTGCCAAGAGGGATGCACTAGGATTTTAAAGTCTTTGGAAGCTCTGGGAGGCAAAAGATTGTTCAAGTTTTCACTGGTCCTACAGAGGCCTGAATTGACTTCAATACCACATTTAATACTAAACATAATCTCAAAAATCTTTCTTACATGCCTTACACTAGTACATGTTTTATTACTGCATTTCCTTGTGCTTGCTTCATATAAGCTTGTTTTTGTAGTAGTCTTTTCTTGCTCGGTCTTGTGACCTTGTTTTTCTTCTTCTACTGTATAATCTGTCAACTCATTTTTTAAGTTGAAAAGGGGAAAATCAGGAGATAACAGAAGGTAATGTGAAAATCTGCTAAAAAAAAAATTCAGAATAGTGCAACTAGACGTAGAGGTGCTATAGTTAATGTGGCATCATTTTTAAAGCATTTATTTTCCGCAAATACTGATATCATAAATATTGATAAATATATAGTTCAGTTCTCAGTGCATTATTTTTGATAAGCAAACATTTTTGATAACTGTGTACATGCTGATAACCTATTGGGTGCTGAGGGTACAAGATTCTGGGATTTATTAGTATTTTATTTTTAGCTTGCATTCTTAGACGTTGTATCAGTAGACAGAGCAAAATGCTGCTATAGCTATATCACTAAGAAAATTACCCATGATTTTTTCTCCCAAAGGAAAATAGTGCAAATCCTGACTTCTTTTTCGAAATTTGAATCTTTCAGGGGTTCTGTACTTCGTGCTGAAATAATATTTAAGTACAATCATATCTTCAGCCAAAAATAGGATGTTATGAAGGGCCAATGTAGTTGTAAATATCTTGAGTTTTATATGTATTTTGTTTCTCCTTCCAATTAGTCCATCACAGAGCAATGTAATTACTTTGAAAGGTCATTATTATAATAACATTCTACTGAGGAAAATGGACTTCAGTCTCTACATTTGTTTCATTTTTATGTTTAGTTTTGCAAGCACATTAGTACTGCCAGAGTTCAAGCGTATCACACTGGTTATGTGCTTTTGAACCCCTGAGCAGTTTATGGTGTAAGCAAATCTCATGCTTTTATATTTGTTATCGTCCATTAGCTAGTGATACACTGTTCTCTTTTTTAAACTAAGGGGAAAACTATGCTGCATATGTATAACTATATTCCCAGTAATATTCTTTATGTTCTTGTTGTTTTGGTTTTGGTTTTGAAAGTAGAAAGTATCGCATGTCCCAGACTTTGTAAACATATCTCAGTACTAGAAGAATGTTGAGATTCTTTTCTTTGTTTATAGTTGTAAGATGAATTTGTTCTTCATTGGCTTGTTAGTTTGTTGTGTTTTTAGTCTTCAGTTACTCAGTAATTTAATTTGAATTTATCCACTTGAATAAAATTAAATTTACCAGCACAACACACAAAAACTTGGTTGGCATTTTTTCTCCAAAGGTGTTTAGACTTGTATGAATTCACAAAATTATCTGCATTTATCTGCATTTACGTGGATCTGTGTTTGGTGATGGCTTTGCTACTAGGTTCATTTTTACGCACAATAAACTGAGTTATAATCAATGCTTATATCACTAAGTGATGACCAGAACCTATTTTGTTTACTCAGTTAATATCTGAATTGCTGCTGTTGTAATGGATGTGGGGGTTAAAATAAATAAATAAATAAATTATACATGAGAAGAGCAGTTTATTTGTACTATCAAGATTAAGAGCTCTACAATAATGATTATAAATTGATATTTCTGTAATGTTCTTTCGTATGAGAAAAAATATAACATTTCGTAGATGTACCTTAACTGAAAAAATGAGCTGATAGGATCTTAAATTTAAAAAAAAAAAAAAAAAAAAAAAGCTTAGAAAAATCAGAAAATAATGAAATGGACTTCTTTGTGGGGAGCTTTTGGCATTTCTTTGTCATCTTTGGATGCATTAATTTGTTTATGCTGCAACTTTAGAATGTGTTATTGAAACCACAACACATGACAAAGGAGATTTGAGTTTCATTACTTAGAAATAATAATCTCACTCTATGTGAAACAGCCTTTTCAAGTAAAGACCAAAGTAAAAGCACGAAACCTGTTTTAACATCTATTTTGATATTTTTGTAGGATGGAATAAAAGATGAATGCTCAGTGCTGAAGCTACAGCTGAAGGAGAGAGATGAACTCATAGCCCAACTTCGTGAGGAACTGGTAAGCAAGAGAAACTACTTCAAAAAAAAAACATTTGTTTGTCTGATAATGTCATTCACCAGTACCAAAACTCAAGAAATATAGTTTCACACCCACTGCAGAATAACTAGCCTGAGGCTACATTAATCAGATAACTCTGGCTGTGCACTTCTAGGGTCTTGTCAGCCTCTGAACTGGCTACTATTTAGAGACACTGCTAGTAGAAATTTCCTTCAAAAGATTGTTTTGACAGTTGTCTTACAGTATCAAAGAGACATTAATCAGTGACAAAGTAGCACATCAGTGTATGCATGTGGTAGAAATCTTGAGAGGCCATGTATATTTCCTGGTGAATTGTAAATATATGTCCCATGAATTGTTTTTCATGTCTACAAGACTGTCCAATAAAAAATGAAATATTTTTTTCACTCTTAAATAGATGTGGATTTTAATTTAAATGAAATAGTAAATGTTCCATGCTTACCGATTTTTTCCTTGCATGAGCTAACAAGGCTTGAGTACTACCACTTTAATAGAAGATACAATACTCTTAAGCAGCTGAGTGAGGTAAAGTAAGCGATATAGCACTACACGTATAGAAGTGTATTTTATTGTGCTTTTAAGACAGAGCTAAATTAATCTTAAAAATCTGCTTTGCCAGAATATGATTAAAAAATATGTCTTCATTATTCTTAATTAAAGGACGGGGGAATTTTCCTCTTCATGTTTCAGAACTAGGGAACTTACTCCAAAGAAAAAGCATATAGCGTCAACATATTCAAGAAGGTGTTCAGTATGTCTGTTGCCACCAAGGAACTTGCAAATGTCCACCAACATTTTGTATAAGCATCCCACAGGATGTGGTGTTATTTCCGTAATCAAATCTAAATTTTCTGATCTAGCTCTAGGGTTTTTGTACCTTTCTGTCTCACACCTGGTGGCTACCCACAAAACTTGAGCAGACTGAATTCAGGTCCATCTGTAACCAGAAGGACAGTCTGTGAAACTGAATGGACAATGTCAGGCTTAGATGAGTAATTAGAAGCACTAGCCCTGTGACTATGGCAAAGTTACAGTGCATCTTTCATATATATTAAGAAGAAATAATGGTGTTTTTCTATCTGCGGAAACAACTAAGTCTGAAGTTGCATGGAAAAATGTAATGCCACACAGAGATGAAAGATTCCTTTGTTATATTAACATCTGCAAAATAAATACAGGTCATCAATATTCTTTGTTTCGCATTTGGCTCCATTAAAAAATGATGTATTATGTAATTATTATCTAAAATTAAATGACAAAATGGGACACTGGGAACATCAAACTTCTACACAGTCTCAGAGCATTAATTTTATATCAGTCTTCCTCGAAACATATGTTATTAACTGGCTGACAACTTTGTCAGTGTAAAATTATCCTGTATTGATACAGTGAGCTGTAGCTTATTTGCTGTTAGTTGTTGTCAAAGTTCATTTGTGTATAAGTCAGTTGCAGGAAAAAGACCCATAGGGACTTTAGTTCTTCTATCACGTAATAGGCAGAAACGTACATCTCTCTATGGTCATGAAATAAGAATTTCCATGATTAAAAGTGGATATCGTGTGTTTAACTCATGATTAACTGACTTCAGTTTTATATTTTAGAATTGTATACAAAACAAAACAGAGAGAATAGAGAGAGAATAGAGATGGGAGTTCTGAGACCACATTTAGTCATTTAAAATTGAATTTGGAAAGGAATCTGTATATCTCATTTACTACTATTGAACTAAATAAAGCATGATGATTCACTAAAATGAAATCCAAGTCTGTTTTTTCATTGGGCACAGAAAGATATATGAAATAGCAAGTGATCAAGTGTCTGCTACTCAGCTCTACTCATTTATGTGTATATATTTTTTAAAAATTAATCTTTTTTTTCCAGTGTGATTTGAGCACTTAGAACTACTCTAAGTAGAAAATATTTTCATGGTATTGTGGCAAAAAAACCTGAGTGCTGCCTACGGTAACATCTATTTTACTGCTGTCATTGATATGGAAGCATTAACACTGAAAAATGAGTGTTAACATCATTATCCTTTCAACTTTTGATGTCCTTGTGTAACTTGAGTCATACATGTTGTCCCATTGAAATAAAAAATGTAGTGAGGCAGCTTGGCTGAATTCTGACTAGATCTGGAGGCAAAGTTAAGGCAGGTGATGAATGTCCCTGATAGCTCAGCTCTTGGAGGGTATTTTTCTGCTGTGGAGTTGCCTGTATCAATTTTGTTGTTGTTGTTGTTGCTTCTGTATCAAATGTAAAAAACAAAAAACTTAAACTCTTTCCTTTTATAAGCTGCCTAGACTAGCTAATGCAAGCTAACTGAGCTTTATCCTAAGCTATAGAAGTTAATGTTTAATTCTAGATAATCAGAATCAGTTAAACAAAAAATAACCAGCATTTTTTCTTTTATTTCTGCAAATTATTCTATCTTCAAAACTTATGTTAAATAAGGTGTGGGGGTTTTTTTGTTTGTTTCTGTGTGTGGTTGTTTGATTTGTTTTTCTTCTGAATATGCATAATCTATTCCTGGAGTGCAGATTGATGGCAACCTTGGTTCTTTTCTTTGGTCTGATTTCAATAATGGGCAATTAGCCAGTTGTCTGTAGTTATGAAGGATTGTTATTTTGAGTTTTCAAGATTTGAATTGTAACAGAAAGTGTAAGATGCACTTTAATCCTGTTTACGAGCAGTTTACAAAAGGCACTTACTGAAGTGCAAAAATCACCTCAAAATATGCTTGTGCCAATATAAATGGATTGGTAGGTACAGTCCTGGAAACACAAGTTGTTTTGACAGGCAAAGAATGAGATTTGGAAAAGCGAATTGATGAATTCATGATGATGAATTCATCATCAATACAGTTTTTGGAATTGCTAGCAAAAATAAATTTTTAGACCTATCTATTTTCAAAACTTTAAAATATAGTTGTCAGATTTTAAAGGAATAAGGTACTTCTTATTTGAAAAGAATTGCCTTAATGCTTATGAAAAAAAGAGTAACATTTTAGATTCATCTTTACACCGATTATCCACTTGCTCTATGTTCTGTGGGTTTATAGTATTATTTCATGTTGGCTATTTTATGATGGGCTATTACATACTCATGGATAATTTACAGAAGAGCAGACAGTTGTAAGTACTTTTGAATCTTTTTTCTTCGACATATTTAGGAAATATTAGGAGCAGAAAAGGAATAGATTAGGTGCACTTAAACATTATTAAAGTGTCAGATTTCTTTCCTACTTTTTACAGGAGAATTAATTGTGTATGTTCCAGAAAAGGCTTATCTTTGCGGTAATTACTCTGTGAATCAGTTCCACAAGGCAGACACAAAGTGCGAAAGTGGCAATATCCTATGGCACACAATGGGGATTAGCCTCTGGTTCCTCATCTATGTCAGTCCCTTGATGAGAAGCTGCCAGTAAGATAGCATCTTTAATATTCCTTGGCACTTGAGAAGATGATTCTGCATATTAGTTTAAGACCTTATCACAAACCATTGTCATATTGTGGTGCTTGGCATAGAAAAATGATTATGTCATCAGCGTAGAGTAGCGTCTTGCTAGTCTGGCTGAAATGCTGCTCTCCCAGTATTTCATAAAAATGACATTGCAGAAAAGAGCAAATCTGAAATACAGAAATTTCCCAAGTCTCCCCGAGACACAATGCTGAAGCTTTCTTTCCTTTGGTAATAATGCACTACATATGCTTGTCTTCAGCACCAGTATCATTCATAGAATGATGATTTTGAGACATGTAGTATTTTACTGACAGATCTTTACGTAAAAGGAGGCAAACGTGACCTGACTTGATTCTGAAATATCTGAAAACTTCAGCTTTTGTTTTATGTAGGACAAAATGTAGGTCTTAGTTCTGCTTTTCCACTTAATTTTTTTAACCAATTCTCATTAATCAGCTTTTAACTCAAAGGAAAATATCATTATAAATCAAAACACATGGCTACAGATTAATTTTAGGACAAACTGAAATGGCAACTTCTTGGAAGCATGGTGGAGACGAAAACTTTCTGTTGCATTTGATTACTGTTGTGTATTCCATGGCGTGACAGGACAATGTTACACACTCTTGACTTTTTGTCTTTGGATTTTTACGAATTCAGATTTCACTTTAAATGAATGGTGAATATTAGATTATAATTACTATGTAGTGTTTGTCCTATGCCATGGCTGTGTCACCGTCCAGTGATCTTTAAGCTCTGCGGACCTGAGCAGCTGTACCTCACCTGAGGAACCAGACGGGGGCAGTCCTCACCAAAGGAGCTGTGGTGGTGCAAGGCTGGATTTGTACCAAAGCTCACAGGGTAACTGAGGTAAATCTACATTGTTATAAATGCTAGGAATGAAGGACATGAGGTCAGCAAAATCGCAACTGTGATTTTTATATAGTTTGATTGCTTAATTGCCTTGACTTTTTTTATTTTTTAATCTACGTGAAAGACAGATGACAAGCATCGTGTGGTAGCACACATGCATGCTGTCTCTACTATTCAGTCTGCTTCTTAGTAGTTACTTTCCACTACAGAATAACTAACATTTTGTTCCCTGAGCTGCCAAATGTGGAAATGTGCTTAAAATATTTTTCCTGATATAATCTCAAAACATTACTTAGTTTAGTTTACATGAATGTTACCGTAAGATATAACTTTCTCTTAGTATCATGGATTGACATAATACTGAGTTATATATATTTATAAAAGAATGAAGAGAGAGGTAGTGTTGCTTAAAAACAAATACACATATGCTGGAAAGCTTGTTTTGCTTCTTAAGATCAGCATTTTAATATGTATGTTAACAGTTTCAGTATGTTGCTAACGGCATCTGTATGACACATTTTTACTGTGGTCATCTGATGTGGATGAGTTTCAGATTAATAAATGCTTTATCTTCAGTGCTGCATAGCAATGCTTAATGAATCAACCGGTACTGCTGTTCCTTCCAATAATTAATTATCTGTTTGAGG